ATATACTATAGTTTTCAATGTTTTCTCTCTTTTTGTTTTGAAGTTGCTGTAAGTCATTCAATATCTTGACCCTACACAAAAGCAAAAAAAATTAAAATCATTATATAACTTAATATTTGTAGATATTTGATTTAAAATAAACCCTTTAATGTTACATTTACTTTGAAATTAAGGGATCAATATTTTAAACTTGCTAATAATTGGAATTTCAAGTCGAAAATCTCAATTGTAAAAGAAGATATACCAACAAATTTTCTACAAAGTCATAACTGATGGAACTCATCGATTAGTATGCTTTTAGCTTCCTCGTTTGTGGTCAAATTGTGTAGACCATGACCAATCTTTTTCTTCACCCAAGTAAAAAAAAAAGTACAATAAGTTTGAGAAGGAATAAAAAAATGCAACAACACCACTATCACTTAACCAAACCAAATCACCATCCAAGTAACACATAACTAGAATATTGATTAAAATAAACAAAAGGCAAAAAGGACAAAATGTAAAATGCAGCCACACTTGATTTTGGGATTGGTAATCACTGAATCAACTTCTAACCTATTTAATATTGAACTAAGAATAACATTGAATTGAAAAAAAATAACGAATAAAAACTGCACAATCATGTTGCTGAGGTCGTGACTACATGGATGATACAGATAGAATAATGGTTTCTTTTTGCAATTACGAACATATCCTGTCTTATACTCTTATATATGAACATGAACAGAACAATACTCATGTGTGTCAAAAACAATGGCATCATGAAGCAGAAAGAAACAACGAGAAATTGGCAGCAGTGGGCAAGAAAACATATGGATTGAAATATGTAAAGCAACAACAACACCATAACTTTAATCCAAAAAAGTGTAAATCAAATTGTCAAAAAAACTTCCATGTAACTATGACATCGGTTGAAGTTTAATACAAGAATTATATCAACTACTAATCTCAAAAAAGATCATAAGCCAATAAATACAGTAGCAGCAGAACCATAAAAAACACAGGGGAAAAAGTAACAAAAATCAAAACGCAACAACAGTTCACTGTTGAGGCAGAAACAAATAATGACAGTGAATTAAAACTAATAAGAATACAAAAACATTTACGTGTGAGGTTGCAAGGACGAAGCTTGAAGATGTGGTTGCAAGGAAGGAGAAATTGGCAGCAGTGCGCAAGAAAACATATGGGTTGAAATATGTAAAGCAACAACAGCACCACAACTTTAATCCAAAAAAGTGTAAATCAAATTGTCAAAAAAACGTCCATGTAACTATGACATCGGTTGAAGTTTAATACAAGAATTATATCAATTACTAATCTCAAAAAAGATCAGAAGCCAATAAATACATTAGCAGCAAAACCATAAAAAACACAGGGGGGAAAAGTAACAAAAATCAAAACGCAACAATAGTTCACTGTTGAGGAAACAAATAATGACAGTGAATTAAAACTAATAAGAATACAAAAACATGAACCTGTGAGGTTGCAAGGACGAAGCTTGAAGATGTGGTTGCAAGGAAAAATCTATTTCTTCTACTTTATCATCAGTATAAGAGCTAACACTGGTAGAAAGATCATCCAGTTTAAGTGAGTATGTACTTTGTGCGTGATTTATTTTGTTCAACCGGGTCTGCTATTAAATTATCAGGTTTTCAACGTGTGTTTTATAATTCTAATGCTTTTAATACCGATGTCGCATCCCCTTTTCTTCCTCTCCCTCTAATTCATAATTTCTCTAAAAATGCTCATCCAAGGCATATCCCTTTCTTATTGGATTTACAAGGCGTTTTGTTCACTCCCAGTTTGTGATATAGACTTTCAATTCGCTCAAGCTTGTTGTGAACTTGTGATATAGACTTTCAATTCGCTCAAGCTTGTTGTATCTGCAGTCTCTAATTGATCTTTTATTCATTTTGTTGAACACCTGAGTTGTCATTGTTTTCAATTTTGCTCTCTAATTTTATAATTTTTGAATTGAGAAATGAAATGAAACATACCTCAAGGTTTTTCTTTTTCCTCTAGGGTATATTGTCATCGGAATCTTGCATTTTGTTTTCACATCATAACGTTTTTCTTTTCCAAAACTTTGAATTACCGAACTAGAATCACGTTTTTCTTTTCCAAAACTTTGAATTACCGAACTCGAATCACACAATTTTCTGATAGGATTTTCTCCATTCGGACCCATTACCTTTTTTTTTTTTGTATTGAATGGGCTTTGTGACTTTAACTTTATGACATCTATATTATGCCATTCTGAAACTGTTACGTTTGTTAAGTGGCTTTTTGTGTACTAAAACTACAATAAAAAACCCATTTTGGATAGGTAGTGCTAGTCATAATTTTTTTTGTATTAAAATGACAATTGTTGTTTAACCATATATACCAATTTTGCACTTCTAACTTTTATAGAGTTATAGTTTAGACATTTTGGTTGGAATAAAAAATTATTGAAGTTTTTGTTAATAATATTTGGGGTTGTACTTTTGCACATACACAAAGAAAATTTATTAACATATTTTCCAAAATAACAAATTCAAACATGTCTTTAGTGAACGGATGAATAACATGTTGGGGAAAAATCTCTCACAGATTGCCCACAATACATATAATATATATATAATATATATATATATATATATATATATATATATATATATATATATATATATATATATATATATATATATATATATATATATATATATATATATATATATATATATATATATATATAACACGAGCTAGGGCATACATTGAACATTGATAACTCCAAATCCAAAATAAAAAAAATATGGCCCTCTTAAGAATAAAATGTTGAAAAATTATAAAAGCTACATAAAATAATATCTCACGTCAACTCCAAACGATATTCACAGTCTCTAAAGCAAGAAAATAAAATTTAAAAAAGAACGAAAAGAACCAAATTCCAAAAACTTATACTTGATGTAGCACTACGATACCAACACCCCCAGGGCTCATTTTTTAGGAATAAATTCTAGTCTACTTTTTTTACATTGTACCGATATGGGACAAATTATTTTCTTCATATTAGCCAACAAATATCAACAATCTAATGAGTAAATCCATGAATCCGTTAACAGGGTAAAACACATTGTTTACCATGGCACATAAACATACAACAATGATATCATATCTCAAAGAACAAGAACACCGTGGGGGCAAAGGGAAACGTTTCCACATAATTATTTTAAAGGGTAAGCCGCAACCTTTGGATGATCCCAAAAGATAACTCATTGAGCACAGGGGCGGTTTTACTAGGGGTCCTGATGTGGCACCGACAACACTTATTTTTTCTGTTTTGCAGTGGAAAAAAATTCGATTTTTCGATTTTTTTTTATCTATTTTTCCTGCATTGGCAACAAATAGTTCAACATCGACAACACCTACTATGTATTCATACGTATGACCCTGATTGAGTATTGTATATTTTGGTCATGCGAAGTTTGAATGTTCTTTATGTAATTTCCACACCTCAACCAGTAGGCTCCCTAGGCTCCCATCTGTGAAACATATGTCAAAAGACTATCAGAAATCTTGTGTGGTAGTGCTCACTGCATTCCAATTACGTTTGTGCAAAGTCCTATTGCTAAGTAAATCTTACAGTTATATTATATTTAGGTATGAGCACGTATAGCAGGTACTCGATTATGGAATCAGAATCGCCTCGGAACCGTCGGTTCTAGAACTGGAACCGAGGTGACTGGTTCGGTTCCAAAAAGTGAGAACTGCCAAGGACTAGTTCCGGTTTAGGTTTCCATTTTTTAGGAACTGTTAAATGTCTGGTAACCATCATAAGTGATTCCAAAATATTAAAATTTAAAAATACTTAATACTTAAACAAATTTATCGTAACAATGTTGATGACTAAAACTTTCGGAAAAAATGGTCTAATATGAATGTGAATGCATAACATTAAAACAATTTGAACACTGGCAATATCTTTTGAAAAGATATGATGTTAAATAGCATTAACATGTTGATGATAAGAACATGCACTTTGGTTTATGACTTATATTTAGTAACTTAGATTATCTTTTAAAATGATTATCTTTTTGTTGTTTGTAACTTATATCGTAATCAACTAGTTATAATATTTACCTTTTGTTTCAGTGATTAAGAATAATTACGTATTAACGAAACTAAAAAAAATGACTTAACTTGGTTACCCGGTCCTAGTCTCGGAACCAGAACTGTCAGGGACTAATTCCAAAAAATTTAAGAACCATCTAGACCGGTTCCGGTTCCGGTTCTAATTTCACAAAAACAATGGTTCAATTATGACAAAATGAGACTGTGACCGCCTATGTTCATTTCTTATATCTGAGTTAAGGTTGATGCAATGAAAATCATCTATGGTTTTCTTATTATGTGAAGGTAATATTCCTTGAATTTAGAGTTTATTCTACTTTGTCATTCCTCGATTTCGACCGTTTTATATAACCCTAGTTTCTGAAACTGATCACTTTAGTTATGGTTTGATTTATGAATGGTTAGTTGAATAGTCTCATTATATTTCTTTTGGAATGGCTAACTTACACCCACCTAATACTATTACTAAATCTATACATTTTGTTTACAATGAGATTTGAATTCTCAACATTTTGACGAGAGCCGTCTTTCCAACACCAACACGCCTAATATCATTAGCTCAAAGATCTTTTGGTAATAGTCTCCTTAATTAATCTAGGTAGCGAACAATAAAATCATTTTGTAAAAGAAGTCAATATGGTATTATAAACTAATTAGGTAAAAATCTAATTAATCCGGAGTTTGCAAAATGGTTAGTTATGATCTGGTGTATCGCTTAAGCTTAATGCCATTCAATCAGTTTTTATCAAGGTCTTATGAAATTAATCAACTCGTACACACTTCTCGACTTATGTGATGAAAAATATTTTTGAAGTGAACTAGTTCATGTCATGTGTTGCCAATTTATAACAATTTATTGTTTCATAATTACCAAAGTGATCTTTGATGCTCATTAACGTTCGATTCTATTTGTTGTCTCCAATCAAGTTAATTTTATTAAACATAATTATAATAAATATATACAAGCAATTTAATCTCTCTCAAATCTTTAAAGAGCCAAAACTCCTATAACATTGCACAAGAGGATCTTTGAAGGCCCAATTGGTTCCACAATAACATAGAAGACCTTCCAAATTATCCTGCAAAATTTTGTATGCATTCTTTGACTTTTGAAGTCAAACATCCTAAATGAGTGTAGATTTTTATAATTTTGTAGTTTATCACAAACATATCTTTAAAAACAAACTCATTCCACAATCAAAAGTCAAATATTGACTTCTATCATGGGTACAAGAACTTATTGTATATGGATCAAAAGGAAAACCAATCATTTGTAACTTTAGCTTGATGAATCATGAACGTATCCACTCCCCAAACAATTAAGACATCGTTGAATCCTGCAATCAACATCACAATATCATGGTCAACTTTCTTAAGTTCTTTAATCTCCAAAAAAAATTCAATAAAAAAGTCCACCTTAGATTTCAAACATTTAAATAAGTTCTTTAATCAAAAAATTTCAATCAAACACATTTCTTGTATGTCAAAAGCAATTAATCGGTTCCTTATAAACATTTGAAGATTAAAAAAAGCTCATTTGACCCTAAAAAGCCAAATATTTATGGAGGTTTCAAAATATGAAATTGAACTGACCTATGGGCATCACAAGTAGGGCAAATACAAGGATTTATGAACACAGGATCATACAATGGAGACCACTCTATTGTAGCATTCCCTTTGCACAATTTACACATGTAAAACCCTTTCCCTCTACATACATCGCATGAACTTGTATTCTTTTTCTTCATAGACGATGACGACGATGGCGAACCAAATTGATTCTGCAACCATATCTTAAAATCAGACCCTGTAGAACCCTAATTTCTAGTAATCGTTCTTCATTATTACTCTCTAAAAAGGTTAAATTAACAATTCAAGAAACAAGAGGTGTTAGGGTGTTTGTGTTTACCTGTTTGTGTTGTGTGAGTAATGTAATTGCAGTGGTGGAGATCATGCTGATGGTGAAGATCCCACCTAGGGTTACAGCTGCCCCTTTCGCTAACGTACGTAGCAGGGGAGGGAAATTAACATTGCCACCATCGCCGCCGTGGTCTGAAGCCATTGATGTGAAATTTCCGAGCTGGGGTTTATCTTTTGATGCCAAATTTGAATCTTTTAGTTAAGGTTTTACAAATCCGATAGTTAGAAGTATTAAAATTTTCGGATTAGAATGTGTATGTTTAACGTATACATCATACACAGAAAACAAGTGGATTAGTTAAGGGTTTGATCGTGATGTAACTGTAGCCCATTTTTTAAGCCCATTACCTGCAAAAAGATTTTAAGTCGTTGAGGCAGCCCTCAAGGCTGAAGCCAAGGAATCTCCCACCCATCCCTTCTTTATTGTTTTCCATTTCTTTATGAAGAAAGAAGATCATGATGTTATTTTTAATTTATTTTATTTAAAAATTATATATATATATATATATATATATATATATATATATATATATATATATATATATAATATATATATAAAGTAATGATGATGTGGACACCAAGTAGGCTTGAAATCGACTAAACAAATTATTTCATGTATTTATTAATTGTGGAATAAAATCGTATATCTAAGTTTCATGGCAAGCTCATCATTATTAAAACTTCCATGAGGAGATGGGTAAAGAGGACGTGTTACCGTATATGTTGTTAGCCCATATTTTTATGGGTTTTTTAAGCTTTAGCACATCAAGGTTTAGTCTTACATATTATTTATTCTTTCATTTCTTCTTTGCAATCTTAACGTTTTTCATTGACAACCTTTTAATTTCTCTCTTTCGATAATCATATGACTATATTATTATGGTATCAGAGCGAAGGTTTGATACGTTGTTAGAATGTTTTGCAGCAGTCAATATGTGGCCCAGACAAACTTTGCGTTGAGTTCGCTTAGGGGGAGGGGCACCTTTTCGTTTCTAATCTGTTTGATACTCCTTCGTTGTTGATGTTCGTTTGCTTGTTGATATTTGTTTGTTGTTGTTGTTAGTTTGTTGTTTTTGTTCGATCTCTTGTTGTTCGATTGGTTGTTTCCGCTGGTTTGTTGCTCTTCTCATTCTTTGATTGCTTATCTATTGCTGTGGTTTTTATGCATTGCCAACATGACTGGAAAGGATGATTCCTTTCAATCAATTAGTACTCGACTAGATGGAAAGAATTATACATATTAGAGCTATTTTATGAAGAACTTCCTTTGTGGGAAGAATATGTGGGGCTATGTCACTGGGACTAAAGTGTACCAAGTTGAGAATTTCAATTTGTTGGTTGATACTTGGGAGATTGATAACTCCAAGGTCATTACTTGGATTAACAATGTTGTTACATAGTCTAGTGGTATGCATTTGGCTAAATATGACACAACAAAGGAAGTTTGGAATCACTTGGAGAGACTATATATCCAGTCCAACTTTGCTAAACAGTATCAGTTAGAATATGATATTCGCACCCTTCAATAAAATGACTTAAGTATTCTAGATTTCTATGTTGTTATGTCTAATTTGTGGGATCAATTGGCTCTACTTAATCTCTAAAGAGTTAAAAGAATTTTAGCCTTATATTGCTAGGAGGGAAGAATAATGTTTGGTCCAGTTTTTTATGGCGTTGCATTCTGATTTTGAAGGCTTACGTGGAATGATTCTTCATCGCTCCCCTTTCCTTCAGTAGATTCTATTGTTCATGAGTTAATTGCTGAAAAGACTCGTATAAAGTCTCGTGCAAATAAAGGGTTTAAAGCAACCTCCATTCATACTTCCATTCCTGTTGTGCTTGTTGTTTCCACTAATCAGTCTCGACAAATTCCAAAGGTTTCTTATGATGAGTGTGCATTCTGTAAATAGAAAGATCATTGGAAAGCTTAGTGTCCATTGTTAGTCAACAATGGTAAATCTACTTAGCCTCAGTCGTGACAACAGAATAGGGATGGTCAATAGAAGCTTCAACCATTTTCACCTCGCCTTCCACAGTTTACTATTACTACTGCTTCATTAGTTAACACTGAGTCAGTTGGCAACATGCCACCTTTTGTGTTGGATTCCATGGTTATTAAGAGTTTCAAACAATATTTGGCCTCCAATCCTACTACCATTTCTACATTTATATTTCATTCCGGTCTTACTTCATCGGGTACCTCAGGTATACCTTCATCTTTGTGGATTTTAGATTCTAGTGCAACCTATCGTATGTCTCCTTATTTGTCATCGTTTACTTCTTTGTCACGTATGTCATATGTCGTTGTTATATATATATATAATATATATATATATATATATATATATATATATATATATATATATATATATATATATATATATGATAGTTGAGGGTGTTAGGTCTATTTCTAATCCTCATATGTATCTTCTTGATGTTTATTATATTCCCAAACTCACTTTGAATCTTGTTTCGATCAACCAATTGTGCAAGTTTGCAAATTGGGTGTTTTTTTTCTGATTCCATCTGTGTTATACAGGAGCAACACACTCAAAATGTCATTGAGATCGGCCATAGGGAGAGAGCTTTATGTATTGGAGGTTCTCAAAGTATCTGATGTTGCTGCCTCCAACATTGATTTGTCTTACTTTCATTTGAGTCATTTTTCATCTTAATTTTATCTTTGGCATTCTTGTTTGGTATATATGTTTGTATCACGTTTGAATTTGCTGTCCTCTAGTGGTATTTTAGGTCATTTGAACACTTGTGATATTTCTGATTGTAGTGGTTGCAAATTGGCAAAATACTCCACTTTACCTTTCAATAAAAGTATGTCTTGTTCTATTGCTTTTTTTGATATTATTCATTTTGTTGTGTGGGGTCCTGCACCAGTATCCACAAAGGGTGGGTCGACCTATTATCTATCTTTATAGATTATTACACTTGATATACTTGGGTTTATCTTATGAAACGCATATATGATTTTCTTAGCATTAATAGCAATTTTAGAGCTCTTGTTAAAACTCAACATTTAGTTGTGATAAAGTGATTCAGGTGTAACTTAGGGGGTGAATATACCTCTAATAATTTTACACGCTTACTTTCTTTGTAACATCTTACTCTTCCAGTTATTTACCCTTTATCCCCTTAGTATATGAGTATTGTGCAAAGTGGCACTTTATGGCATTTTCGTAATATTGGTGTTGCAAGAGTACGTTGGGCGTACCTACCCTAATGCATGTACGCTGGGCATACACTAATATGCATGGCATATGTAATTTGGACCAAACCCTAATATTTAGGGTTTGTGCATTATATAAGAGCCATTATAGCCCCTAAACCCTTCCTCTTATCAGCCTCCATCCCAAAAATTGACCCTCCTTGCAAACCCTAAACTATTTTGAGCATTTTGAGCTTTTGAGTGAATTATGGGCTTTCTTGGTTATGAAGGAAGATCATCAAGGAAGTGGCTTTGCTCTTAAGACTTTGGATCCAACATTTTCACCATTTGGAGGTATAAAGCTCTAAATTTGGATCATCTTTTTCTAGATCTTGGTTAAGCTTAGAATTTCTTCTTTTTGTCCCCAAACCTAGGTCTTTGTGAGTATGAGGTACTCCAAAGCATTTAAGCTATCATTTTAGACATTTTAGGGCATTTTAAGTCATAAAAATGCAAGCTTGGATCTTTATTTGTCCCATGAAAAAGTTATGGTGTAGAAAAGGATGGAGCAAATTAGGTTCTTAGTGTTGGGCTCCTTGTAGCCATGCAAAGGCATAAAGTTTGCAACTTTATGGCCTTAGAGGTATGAATAAGATCAGATATGAAGTTTAGACGTATGGACTTAAAGCATTAAGATATTAATGGGAGTTTTAGCTTTAGGATGTGTAAGCTGGGCGTAAAACCCAGTATGTTGTGCGTACTGCACCTTGATCCTAATTCCCTTCACATTCATCATGTATACGGGGTGCTCAAGTTGGTACCGGGGGCATACGACCTAGTTCCAATAATTGATCCATCCTTTTGGGCCTTGAATCGTCATTATTGGGTTTTTCAGAATTTGGGCCAAATAGGAAGGACAAATGACCTCTTTGCCCCTATTTTGGATATGGGATTGGTTGGACCATCTATTATGAAATAAATGTTGGATTATTAATTTGGGTTATTTTCTATGGGATATCTTTAGTGTGAGTAGCTGTATTAGCAACAGCTCGAGTGTATAGTACGTGTTATATTCTTTGGAGGTGAGTCTTCTCACTGTATCCATGGGTTGAAGGTACCAATGGGGGCCCATTATTTTATTACTTAGGATGATAACAATTATGTGGTTTATATGTGATTGTATGATGGGTTGAAATACACCCCAGGACGAGGCCCACTATAGTATGTTTTGGTTGAAATATACCCTAAGGCAGGGCCCACTACAATATGCTCGAGTTGAAATAGACCCTAAGGAGAGGCCCTAGGGCGGAGCCCATATGTGTTGATCGGGTTAAAATACACTGCAGGTCGGGGCCCATATGTGTATATTGGGTTGGATTATACCCCAAGGTTAAGCCTACTTGTATGATTGGTATGTGGTACTTTAGAGGACTCACTAAGCTCTGTGCTTACAGTTTATGTTTATGGTTTCAGGTACTTCCGGTTCGAAAAGGACGGGCCCGACGTGATGGACCAACATCCTCCTCTCATGATTTCCGCATTTGAAATAATTGTACCTCGATGTTTTGAATATTATGACTTGGTGTTGATTTTGAACAATCAGTGAATGATTTTTTAAATGAAAATTTTTATTACCATTTTCGGGGCATTACAAGTTGGTATCAGAGCCTTGGTTTGTGGAATTTGGGCATACTTTCGGGTGTGTCAGAACTGATACTAAGGAAATGATAAATTTTCTTAAGAAAAATGAATTTAAACTTTTAAAAAGATTTTTATTAAGAAGAAGGGGTGCGATGCGTGCAATCAGCCGAGCTCAAGTAAGTGGTTCCGAAATTACCCATACATATGTATTGTGAGTAGTATGCTTGATATGATAATTGCATGCTAGATTAGGGCTAAGGATACCTTCAGGAATCATATGATAGAATTGCCTTATTTAAGTGATGCCTTATAGCCTAGTGGAACTTGATGCTATGTATTGCTTGGAATCGATATCGGCTTAGTTAATTGCTAAGTGTATGCTTTTAAATTTGTATACGATTAGCATTGTATAGCCCCATAATGGTCGATTTGGCCTTATTTCATGCTCCTTGTTTTGTTATGGACTTAGGGTTGAATCATCATTTGATAGTCTATGTGGTCCTATTTATGTATAACTGGCATGCATATGGTAATTAGCGGTGTTGATTGAGGTTCTTGGTATTGTGAAGGGTAGGAGTTGAGACTTCCTAGGAGAGTCCATGATATGTATGATGTATAGCATAGGATTAGTATATGGTTTTAGTGTGGTGAT